GGATGGATGGATGGATGGATGGATGGATGGATGGATGGATGGATGGACTTTAGAAGATTCATTTCAGGACTGAAGCTCATAGTTGAATCTTTCTATGTTAATTTCCAAGAAATCTAATGACTTTACCTGTAAACAGTGTCTCAGTAAAGATTTTTGGCATTCCTCAGGGATGTTTGTTTCAAAGAGATATTTGTGAGCATTCAGTAACCAATAACAGCACATATATCTGGGCCATGCTTGGACTCCCATGAGCCTTTCTTCACCTCAGCCAGCTGCAGATAAACCAATTGCAGGGCCGATGAACTCGACTGACCTCTCTGTGAACATGCCTCTGCCCTACCTGAATGTCTGTCAACACCCTCCACAGATACGCAACAGAAAATGTAAGGAGTCAAAAGTTATCAGTACATGGCAATATCAGCTGGAGAGAGGATTAGTTAAGACAAATGTGTTTACTGTGCTACTTTAAGGAAATGTACACGAGGTCAATGCAGCAGCTTCAAATAATTTGCATCAATCAGCTTTATGTCTTCTGTTAGTTACATGAACATTATGGTCTCCAATGCTAGAATCACCCTAAAAACACAAAGTAAAATATATTTGTGGTCTTGGATCGGATTATTTGGTGTGTGCTGTTTTTCTGTGTGTATGTCTGTCAGTTAAAAGTGAATGAAGGGTCTTTTGAGGTCCTCCTGACATTATAAGTTGGAAAGTAGGTTCTTGTTTGTTTTTTTGTGTGTGTGGGGAAAGAAGTATCCATTTCAGAAAAAGGGCAGGGGTGGGTGGATGGTGATGACAGAATAAACCTTCATGTGCAGGCTTCTTTCAACTCCCAGCGAGTGATATTGTTTATACAATTACATATAGGAAGATGACACGGTTTAACCAACGTAGGAGGCAAACTCCAACCTTTCTGACTTCATTCAGAGTCAGCAAGGTATTTAGCCTTTTAAGCAATGCTGACAAAAATCTCTCAACTAGAAAATTAACCATGTCAACTGAGATTAGTGTCAGCGGAGCTGCCCAGGTTGAACAGAGCAGGTCTCAAGGCCACAATCTGGAATTTGCCTCGATAGTTTCCTCAACGTGATCAAGGGTCCATAATAAAGAAACTTTCATTTTAGTGCATAACTGCCTAAAAGCAAAGTAGAAAATTGAGCCTTCTTAAAAATGTCAGAGGGTCTAAGGTCTACACATAGTTTCATTTGGACAAATGTTAATGTCCAGAGACTGTCGGTGAGAAAACCGTACTTCCTGGTCTCCTCTAAACCTGAGTGGTCAGCTGTTGTTGGACCTCTGTGCTCGTCATGATCTAGTTGAAGAGCAAACATTGTAACAAACCTCCCTGTGGTTAAAGTCCCCCATCAGCTTCTCAGTCGTTTCATCTGGTTTGAGGCAACATGTTGTGAACTCCTGGTTAAAGAGAAGAGCAAGGCTCTCGGCTGATCTCATTATGAGTTGATTAGCTGCTTACGCAGATTAAAATAAATAAATAATCTGAGTTTTCCGGGAAACAGCACATCCCACATCCCTGAGGTTTTAGAAAGCAAAGCATAACCAGAGATACTATAATGTGTCAGGGATAAATACATTTCAGAAAGTTTGTGAGTCAAAGCTGTCTTAATATACAATGAGTGATCAAGTTCAAGTTCAAGGCAATTTGTTTCACAGTCAGTAGGCACACAAAACATCCATACTAGACAAGACATCGAAACATTAAAATAACAACAGAAATCATAATTGTTCGTTGAGAAGCCTGATCTCTACAGGGATGAATGAGTTTTTCAGACTGTTCGTCCTACGCCTGGGCAGCAGATACCTGCGTCCAGATGGAGGCAACCTGAACTCACCATGGAGTGGTGATCAGGATCTGCCAGAATCAGCCTGGCCTTGTTCACTGACCTCACCTTGTGTAGGTCAGTGAGGTTCTGTAGGGCTATGCCAGCAGTTTTGCTGCACATCCTGACAATCCCCGAGAGTTTAACAAAGTTTATTGTGATGCCTACAAGGTTTCACAATGAAAAGATATCCATTATTTCACAATCTCCCCAAATTTCTAAGCAACAAAGTGTAAGTATTGCCACACGTAAAAATGTGCTGCTTTTTAAAAATGTTTCTATATTATTCTGAATTGTTGCTATAATTGTTGAGCAGTTGGCTGCTAATCAAATAGTTGGCAGATTGATCCTGGCCTCCCCTTAGCCAAAGTGTATTTGGGCAAGACACCAAGTCCCAGGTTGCCCCTGATTTGGTGAGTGCTTGTGTAAAGGTGTGGGTGACTTGCAGTATAACGGTGCTCTGAATGGTCAGCATGACTAGAAAAGTGCTGTATAAATCCAGACCGTTAACC